CTCTAAAGGAAAATCTTTCCCACAGGATCCAGCCCCCTAAAAATCGCTGATGGAGGGGCCACCATGACCCCACTGTTCACAGAGGGCTGCCCGCCGACCTGGGACCGGCTCCACAGGACAGTGACTCCTTGGGGGACCCACCCCCGGTTTCTGGAAATCGAGCCTTAGGCACTGGTGCTCCAAGGGCAGAGACCCGGCTTCTGTGCTACAGGGACGGCCCCTGCCCCGACGTGACTCCCAGACACAGAGACCGAGTCCATCAGACCATGCTGGTCTCTACCCACGTGTAGCAGACAGGTGTGCACGTGCTCGCTTGTGGGCACTGGAGTGGGGAAGGAGCCAGCATGCCCCTTCCTCAGCTGGTCAGGAGGGAAGACGAAGGCACTTCCACCCTTCCTGCCAAAAAATGCAAACTCTGATCACATGCATGAGAGAGAGAGAGGATGCTGGGCTCAGGATCCAGGTCTTGCTTCCCGCCAGCACCAGAGCAGAGATGTGGCCGGAAACGCTGGCCTGGAGGGAGCTCCACAGAGGAGTGGCCACCTGGCACCTGTGTAAATGTCCGCCCCAGCAAGAGTGACCCCACCGTCACCTCCATGTTGTTCGAGCCTGAACTCCCCCTCAACCTGAGCTTGGCACATCTGCTGGCCTCTACCTGGCTGAGCCCCCTCCTCACCACAGGAAACCTCCCTGAGGTAGGGTCACCCCCTCACCCTGACATCAAGGGCTCAGCATGGAAATAGCCCAGCTGGGCGCCTTCTCCAGCCAGGATACTCGCCAGCCCACGTCCATTGTTTGCAGAGTAGACGCAGAGTCCACGGTCAACATCCAGAGGAAAGGAGGGGCTTTCCCAGCAGGCACTACGGCAGCTCTCAAACACCCCGGCACCTTCCCATCTGCCCCCACTTTCCCACCCTCCCCCTACCTATTCACCTGGCCCCACTTCTCACCCATCTCCTACCTTCCCACCTACTCCCCACTGTCTCACCTACTCCTCCACCTTCTCACCTGCCCCCCACCTTTCCACTCCCCCACCTTCTCACCTGCCCCCCACCTTCTCACACATCCCCCATTTTCCCACCTGGCTCCACCTTCCCACCCTCCCACCTTCCCACCTGCCCCCACCTCTCACCTGTCCCCCCCATGCCCGCTCTCCAGCCTTCCCAGCCCCGGGGGAGGAAGTGGGTGCTTTTGGCAGGTATGATCAGGTCTCGTTATGCTCCCAAACTGATGCAAGAAAGCATTCTTGTTAGGTCAATTGATGAACAAGTGGCATGAGCACTCATAGAAAGCACACTTGCATGTTATCCCCAGGGCTTTAGCTTTCCTGAAACCCAAGCCCACATCCAGTTCTATGGATCATATCATAGAACTGACATGGACATAAGATGGATAAATTATCCATGGATCTTGATAAAGTTCCCTAATGTTGCTTAAATAAGTACATGAAGAAATGAACTTGGAAAGTAAACATGTCGCCCCACCTGTGCACACTCACAGCATCACCAACAAGTGTCAGCCCCCCAAAGGTACCATGATCAGCATCATAAACTGGACAAAAACTGTGTCCGAATGACAAAGCCCAGTCCAGGTAGGCCTGTGAGGAGACCATTCCATTTCCTGTGGCAAGGTGAATTGTTTCAGTATTTCTGATGTTGTGCATATTAAAAGTAAGTTCACCGTTCAGATTTAGCCTTTCCCATTCCAAATCCTACCCCCCAGAAATAACCAAAGAAAAAAACTTTAATGACTTGTGCAAAACAGGGAGAAATTGAAATCAATTCAAATACCCTCAGAATAATTTGCACACAAGGGATGTCTTAGATGTTTCAAAGTCATGAGAGAGTGGGTGATGAGAGATGGTTTGGGGGGCCTTCCCAGGTGAAAAAGCTCCCCTGTATCCTGATTCTCATTTGTAGAAAAAAAGGCTTTAGTCTCCCAGGCCTTCCCCAAATTCCAAAGAGCAGACTCCAGAAGTTCATGATTAGGATAAGCAAGTCACCTTACTGTCCGAGCTCCTCCTGAAGGAATACAGGTTGTTGGACGCTGAGGCATACCTGTAAGAAGTTCTGTAGAAACTAAGACCCCCACCCAGGTGGAGGATGGTAACCACACGCTGACCGCAGCATGCAAAACCCAGACTGGTTGGAACATCACCCCATTACCTCACAACCCATCAGAAGGTCCACCAGCCTCTCGTGCAGCCTTCAACCCTCTCCCCTCACACATCTTTAAAAACCCTGAAAGCCATCAGGGAGTGTGGGTCTCTGGAGCATGAGCTGCCTGCTCTCCTTGCTTGGTGCCGGCAAATAGTGAACACCCACTGTCAGAGTTTGGCTTTCTGCGCTATGAGCACACGGGTGCTTGCCATGGGGCTGGCTGCACTCTGAGCTCATCCACACAGGCTCGTTCACTCCTGGGGAGACATATCAGAGACAGAGCAGTAGCCGCTGGGGCTGCAGAGTCGGGGGGGGGGGCAGGGCGGCGCTTCAGTGGGGAGGGGGCAGGAAGGGGCGGGTGTTCCCTGTTCACTGAGAGTTGAGGGCTTCAGATGCCTGTTTTCTCATCCAGTCCTAAAATCTTAGGAGGCAGAGACTCTTACCACCAACATCCCCACATCCAAACCCACACGTCCTCCTTCTGCCCGTCCTCTGCCTCATCTTTCTCTCTAAACTTATCACCATGTGGAATACTGGACATGTCACTTAGTTCTCCACTCTTTCATCCTCTCTTAGGACTTCCCTGGTAGTCAGACGGTAAAGCATCTGCCTACGATGTGGGAGACCTGGGTTTGACCCCTGGGTCGGGAAGATCCCCTAGAGAAGGAAATGGCAACCCACTCCATTATCCTTGATTGGAAAATCCCATGGACAGAGGAGCCTGGTAGGCTACAGTCCATGGGGTCACAAAGAGTCAGACACAACTGAGCGACTTCATTTTCACTTTCTTTCATCCTCTCTAGAATGCAAACTGGGGTTTTATTTTTTCCTCTTTTCCCCACTCTCTGGTTGCCCATTCCTAGATCACAGCATGTGATGGGTGCTCAAGAAGAAACAATTGAATTAACTTGAGAAATCAAACAGAGCGGCCATCTTAACTTACCCAAGGCAATGGAGCTGGTCCATCATGGCCCTGTGTTTTGAACTCTGGGTATACCTACCTGGAACCCATATGCATTCCCTTCACTGTCTTGATCATCAGAAAACATGCATGGATGCTGAGTGGAACTTTTTTTTTTTGCAGCCTCCCCACTTCTCATCCCAGTGACTAATGATTCTCCTCAACTATTGTCAACGTTTGAAATAGTTCTCCTTCCCTCTGCGTGTCCAGTCCTCACAGGAAGCAGCTGCCCCATCTCTCCCCTGAGCCCACCTTAGTTTCTCCTTCTAAAGACGTGATGTCCATCTCCTCACTTGGGTCCTTGGATATAGAGGGACAGGTTAACAGAAGACTCTGTGGCTGCTCCCCTATCACTGCCCCCACCTTTGCCCTAAGCTTTCCCCATCTTGTCAACTGACACAGCAGATTTAAAATCACAAATGTAAAAAATAAAATAAAAGCACAAATGTGTCTGTGCGTCTGTCACAAAGATGGAGTTATGTGGGTAAAAAACTACCTGTAGCCACGCAACCCCCTCGGTGAGGCAGGAAGCCTGCCAGCCACACTAGCTTCTCCAGGGCTGGAATCAAGACCCAGCAGGTCTGAGTCAAGGTCCCAGCCTCTCTGTTCAGACTTGGTGATGGCACATTCCTCACGTGCCTTCCCGTCAGAGTGCCCATGGGGCGCTGTTGTATGGGCAGGGTGCCCTTGCCCAATGACCTTGAATGACCCAGCATCTCTTTTCTGAGGGTGCCTCTCTGCCCCCCAGTACAAAGTGAAAGGTGCCGATGAAAAGCAAGCATCACAAGCAGGGGATGGAAAGTGCTCACTCACACCCCAGCCCCAGAAAGTTCCACCCCCCAGAGTCTGTCTTTCTCACTCATAAGAAAGGCAAAGAAAGCTTCCTGCACTTTACTCTCGGGAGGAAACGCTGGAGTCGGCTGGTGATGGGATCCCTTCTTATGACTTGAAAGGACCAGGCTGCCCACACCCGGCTCCTGAAAGCTGGCAGTCCCCCTGGTTCAGAATGCCCTCCCTGTGAGTGTCATCCTGCAGGGCTCTCCTGTCCTGCCGCAAACACCTGCCCCCTACCCCTTCCGTCCCCAGTGATGACTCTGCAGGGGCGTCTCTGTGATGCTGGCTTTTTACTCCGAGCCCCCGAGACTGCACACCTTCAGTGAGTTCTGGTCCTTGGAGAACTTTCAACTGGAAATCTCTAGAACATTCTGTGCCTGATGGAGTTGTAGCTTGGCAGACATCAATTACCCACTTTTCCAACGGGGATGTATGTTCTTTGAAGTTTAACAGCATTCAGAAGCACCTTGGAAATGGCACCAAGGCGATTATTTCGATACAAACGGCTGCTGTGACCTGGGCATCACCCAGGCAGGCTGGTTTAAGACATTCAGAGAGGAATCTGAGCCAGTCATCTCTGATACTTTTGCTGGGTTTAAGGGAAGGAACAAGAAATGCCAGGTTTTCCACATACAATCTTGGTGGGTGGTTTCAAAGAGCCGCCAGGCCCCTGGGGGCTCAGTGTCACTCCTGACTTGGGAAGTGTGTCCTGAGACATGTGAGAACCTTGTACACAGCTTATGAAGGGCAAATTAAAATGTCCAAGCAGCTGGGAAACAAAGCCTTCCCGGAGGAAAGTGAGCAGGACAGACAGGCAGCATGAAAACCCCAAACCAAGGAAGGGCTGGGACCCATTTGGATGGTGGCGGTGGCCAGTCCCCCTGGGTCACATGGAGGTGGTTTTGCACCTTTCTGCTTGGCTCCCTGGCTCCCCTGGGTCCCCGAGAAGCAGCCTTGGTGCTCAGGGTCTCCGAGCCTGCTTGCCTGACTTAAAATGTGTGCCTTGCCTCCACCGCCATCTTTCAGCCTGTGAGCAAGTCACTCACTGTGGGAGCCTCCCTCCCACGCGGCAGGCCCCGGAGCGCTGCACCTGAGCGGGGGCGGCAGGGCCGTGCGCCAGGACCGGGTGTGGTGGCATCAGCAGGCCTCACCCCTGGGCTCTGACTCCGAACAGGCAGGAGAACACTCCTCGGTGGAACCGAGAGTGGGCAGTCCCTTGCATGGGGGCTGGGGGAGGAGCAGAGGGGAGCCCAGACTGGGGGCAGTCAGCCAGTTGAGTGGAGAGCAGGTGGACTTGGAGGAACCCCTTGAGCCATCAGGGCACATCCAAGGTCAGGATGGCAGGGTAGGATGGACTAGAACAGGGCAGAAATGGTAGAATGGGATTAACAGGGCAGCATGGAGCAGGAGAACATCCCATGGAGCTAGGGTATGGATGGTTCTGTGATGTATGTTGGAGGACCAGGCAATGACGTAACGTGCAGCTCCAGTTGGAGGGGGTCTTGGTTAAGGGAAATGGACTGAGCGCTTGTAAAAACTGCCTGAGTTTGCAGTAACCAGCCCTTAACCCATCTTATGCAGTTCCACTTTTTGAGGGCAGAGTAATAGCCCACACTCAGAGTTCTGTGTGGATCCTCAGTCAGCCTTTGGAACAAACTTACTGAAGAGGAACTGCTGGTTGCTACATTTTATAGACAAGAAAACTGAGGGGTAGATGCTAGTTAACTTGCCCTTGATCACACGAGCAGCAACAGGCACAGGCGGGGTTCCAAACCAGGTCCATCTGACATCAGAGCTAAGTGGTGACATAGGCTGTCCTTTCTCTGCGGCCTTGCAAGTCCTATAACAAGGGGTCACCCTCCTCTTGGGGTCAAGAAGAGGCTTGCAGGGCTTAGAGGGTAAGGAAGTGACTCCTTCTCAAAGATTCTTCAGATGACAAGAAACCTCCCCAAATGGGACCCTCAAAGCCACTCCATAGCCCCCCTGTCCCCAACACTCATACACATCTGAGGGACCATCAAGCTGCCACGGCCCCTGTCTAAGGAATACACACAACCTAACTCTGCAGTAATTTGCTGTTGGAATTTTGCCATCAGCCTGTTTTCCCTCTTTTGAAAGTTGAGGCCATTTTCTTCCCATGTCCAACCTGTGGCACTTCTCGCTTGTTTTTGTAGGATATTGTCAATAATGTTACCAGGAGTGATGTCAAAATCCTACCTTTAATTCTTGGGTTTTATGAGTCAACTTGTTGAAATCATGGGGGAAAGGGTTCAAAGGAGGACTTCCTCCCCATTCAGACACTTCAGTCATTTCTACTAGACTTCAGCAGATTTCCATCATGTCGATAAACAGGGCAGGTGAGTGATACTCATGCATGAACTATTTCTTTTCAGTTAAATATTTTAACATGTTCTTTACTACAATTTCCACTCAGGAAATGTGTTGTGGACCAACTGTATTTTTGTCACCTTGGCCTTACCAGGGCTTAAGTAGTGATGTCATTTATGTGGGGACCATCGTAAAGGAATCCACAGTTTTCATCTGAGGACAATTGCTCCATCTGCACTGGTTGGCCCCTTCTTATCGACAGCATCAAACAGAGAGATTGGTATTTGGAGGTTTTGTTAATCCTCAGGAGTGAGGTCTTGTCCACAATGTGTGGTATAAACGGGACCTCCGAGAACATCTGGTGAATCAGCGGGGCCTCAGGCCTGGTGCAGGCGACCAGGCTTCCTCTGATGAACCGGAAGGCCAGGAAGCTCTTCTCTGTGACTGTAGAGGTGGTCACATGTCAGTCTACATTTGTCAAAAGCCCATAGGATGTGCAACACAAAGGTGAACCCTACCGTAAGCTGTGGCTCTGAGTTCAGTAGTAATGTGTGAAGATGGCTCATCAGGTGTAACAAACGGACCACACCAACACAAGATGTTAGTCACAGGGGAGATGTCAGGGGGAGGGGGGTAGAGGGTGTACTGGGGCTCTCTGCACTTTCCCCTCAATTTTCTGTCATCCTAAACAACTAAAAAAGTGTTTTAAATAAGAGCAAAAGCCTCCTCTTAGCTAGTACACAGGTCTGCTGCAACAAAATTAAAAACAAAGAGCGGGGCTTAGGGGTGGGGAGAGAGAGAAAGAGAGAAGGAAGGAAAAAGAAGATAAAAAAGGAGGCATTAAATGACAAAGGACCCAATTAGGAAGAACACATAACTTAAGAAATGGAGGAAGTTCAAATATAACTTGAGGGAAAGAAGAAATTTCCCAAGTGCTTCACACTACAAGATTTTGAAAATGCAAGTTAATAAATGATCATGGGATGTGGCTGCGATCTAGCCAAGAGAAATGTAAAGTAATGCCATATCCGCCGCAGCAGGAGCAAGGTTAACTGGAGGTACCAATATCGCATCACAGAGTAAACCAGCAGTAACACGAGCACTCGCAGAATGCCTTGTGTCCCGGTCAGGGATTAACACCTAGGGGACAGCGGTCCCAGAAGCTGGGCAGCGCACTCAGAAGGGGCTGGCTGTGAAACCAACCCCCCTCCTACCACCACCGCCAGAAGGGAGGGTGGGTGTGAGTTCGCCACTGCCCTAACTCTGACTGTCAGAAAGGTGATCATGTTTGTCCGGGGCTTGGGGCCACTGCTAGCACTTGAGACACATTAGAAAAAGGCGCCAGCTCCAGTTAGAATATGTTGAAGAATAAAAAGACACCCGTCTGGCTGGACCAGTCAGAGAAGGCACCACCTCTGGGCAGAGCCACCATACGGTGTCCTTCCCTCCCCACTCTGTCTGGGGCCACGGCTTGGCAGACAGCAGGCTGGATGTCGGCCTCCACTTCCCAGTGCCTGGTGCAGGGCACAGCCTGCACCTCCCTTCCTGCTTCTTCACCCAGAAGTACTCACCCACTGGAGTGCAGACCCAGTTCCTGAGCCCTGGGTGCCGATCCCCCTTTGATGCAAAAAGGCACTGATGCCCTAGGAGTTTTTGTCCAGGAGACCCCAATCCACCTCAGGAGGCAAAACCACTCCTTCCTGTTCAATATGGAAATGTACAATACATGCATACGCACTGAGTCACTTCAGTCGTGTCCACCTCTTTGTGACCCTATGGACTGTAGTCTACCAGGCTCCTCTGTCCATAGGATTCTCCAGGCAAGAATACTAAAATGGGTTACCTTGTCCTCTTCCAAGGGATGTTCTGGACCCAGGGATCGAATGTGCATCTCTTATGTCTTTACCACTAGTGACACATGGGAAGCACCAGTACATGGGCTTCTAAAACTATGAATAAATATAGAGATAAACAAATCAGATTAAATTTATTAATTATTTGTGTTAATTTACATGTATAAACAGAACAATAATATTTGTGGGTTACACCTGAAGTCTTGAAATAAGATGTTAATATTTGCCATTTTAATCAGTTGGATATTCATTTGAAGCCAAATAGCTCATAGGTCATCTTTTCTGCACATAAAATCACTGCTCTAACATTGGAAAGCACCCCATAAAACAACAGGCAAAATAGGGTTAGAAAAAACACATATAGAGGATTATGGAATTGTACAGTTGCAAAAATAAATTGAGCATGGAAATAATATCATTACATGATCAACCAGTAGATTAGAAACAGCAAGAAACACAATAGTTAAGGTCAGAAATCAATGACCAAAGTAAAAGGGTGCTTTCATATGATCGCAGTCAAGGTAAAGAAAAAAGACAAGTAGCTTACAACAAAGACAATGTAACACGTAGAAGTCGATGTCCTTAAGAAAAAAGTCAGCCAAAGAAAAACTAACAGGGCTCAAAAATATTAATCATGAAAAGAATTTTCCTTAAATGCAGGGAGAAGGGAAACTCTGGATCACAGGGCACATTTTCCAGAAAATTAATACCTAAATTATGATCCTGGTTGTTATTTAATTCTCCAGAAGAAAATCATGAATTCTTCAGTTGTCTAAGTCAAGAATCTTCTAGGGAGTATCTAGCCAGAATCAGGCTTGCCCACAGTAACATTTGAAGCCAAGAAACAGTGGAGCAAAGTTATAAAGGAAAGAGAACGTGACCCAAGGGTGTTACACTCAACCAAGATGCGTTCAAGTACAAATATCCCCAGCTTGAAAGGACTCGGGAAGTACAGCACCCTGGAGTCCTTTCTAAAGAACTACTTGCTGGTGTGACTGAGGCATAAATGGAGAAACTGAAGTGTAATGTTCAGTGCCAGAAGATAGTGAAGCAGCTTACAGGACTCTAAGCGGAATCAGGAGTCTTGCTTTTCAGCATTTGAGAATGAAATCCAGCCAACCAAGCGATAAATCAAAAGAAACAGGGCATAGAATAGCCTCAGTGAAAGAACGGGGAGAAAGAAATCGTTCCAAATGAGGGCTATGCTACAACGTGAAATAGAAATGTTCTAGAACTCTGGCTCATATCACAGGCTCAGCTCACAGGTCTCGGTCCCTGAGGAGTGTAGCGATAAGGTTGGAATATGAGGCATGTGTCCGAGGTGGGATAGCTTGGGTGGGGTTGCCTCACAACCTTGGAGACCAAGAAGGTTTCTGTCTCCACTGGGAGTGGGCACAGCATGGCCTTGAAGGGGGAGGGTGTGTGGAGAGGCAAAGTAGGTAATCAAGCCCCAAAGACCCACCCGCCCATCCTCGCCCTGCCCGGGGTCTCCAGCAGCCTTGCCCGGGGGACCTGCAGGACACATCTCTTCTGACGAGCCAGGCAGGAACCCCTGAAGGGAACTGTCCAGGGAGCGAGCAGCTGGTCTCCTCTGGATGAGGGAAGGGGCTATCCCCGTGCTGGTCACCCCGCACGCCACCGTTTCAAATACCCCCACCTGTTCCTGAATTTTAAAGCAGTTACCCCTAGAGACCCTGATGCTGGGAAAGACAGAGGGCAGGAGGAGGGGGATGACAGAGGATGAGATGGGTTGGCTGGCCTCACCGACTCAACGAACATGATTTTGAGCAAACTCTGGAAGATAGGGAAAGACAGGGAAGCCTGGTGTGCTGCAGTCCAGGGGATTTGTAAACAGTCGGATGCAACTGAGCGACTGAACAACAACAGCAACCCCTAGAGAAAAACCAAAAGCCTGATTGGTCCGTTTGCAAAGCAGTCGTTCATAAGTGACACTGAA